GAGCACATTGTAGAATTAGGCTCAGGATTGGTAAAAAAACATGTTTTAAACAGTTTAAAACATGCTTAGTTGATGTTTTTTTTATAGTACTGTTTAAAGCATATTTGAAGCATTAAAAACATATTTAAGAAAAAACACAATATGTTTTATTCTTAAAAAAAAAAAAAACATTAGTCTTTATCAACTCTGTTAATTTTTATTACGTGATCTGTTTTAACGCTAAAAATGAACATCGAACGTTAACGTGAAAAAACACTTTTACTAATCGTATCAAGTGCTCGATGTAAACAAGAGATCTGTTCGCGTTGTTTGAAATTCCTAAATATATTTTGCACTTAAAATGGGATAGATATATATGTAGTACGTGTTGAAAATGGAGAAAGCGAAGAAATACTGAGTGCAAAAAGTGCAAGCAACACGAACAGACCTAAGGTCTATGGGTGCGGTCCACTTGACGCTACAAATGTTCGAAGCTTTTGATTGACCAATCGGAAGAAAGAATTTTATTAATTGACCAATCAAAATATGCTTCGAAGTATTTTAGTATCGAGTGGACTGTATTTAAATTACATCCCTGATGAAATTTTTATACGAATTTGGACACTTTCCAGAAATACTAATATAAATCAATTTATTTATGCAAACGTCAGCTGAAAACTTTAATTATTTTAGAATTATCTAATATTTTTTAATCCTCCTTTTTACGTTCCATCAAATGAAGTAGCGCAATCCATATTTCCAATATGCATGTGCAACATGTACATCTACAGTACATGGCGTTTTCAGCTTTTTGCGTACTTTTCAGCTCTTTTTAGGTTATGTGTCGTGCAATTATACTACGAATGCTTCAAGTAATTCGCGTAATTTTATGAATATTGGACATAAATCCACTTAAGTGATTTACAAGCTAAATGTAGCTTTTCCTGATGTGTAACAATCGCATTCACGTATAAATATCAGATTTTTATTATTGAGACCCAGTAATTCGGAATGATGACGCTACGTTTGTTCGACAACGAGGTGAGAAATTGAAAATAATGAAATATCTGTATGGAAGTTACTATTATGAAACACACCGCCGCGGTTGCCTCTTTAGATAGATTTCATTTAAGTCTAATCTGTGATCTTTGCTTCCTGTTTCTTGCATTTTACCACTTTTTTTCACTTGTCTTTTTTGTCTTAGCTGTTGTCCCAAGATAAAATTTCAGAACAGACAATTTTGTCAATAAAATAGTCAATAAAGAGCGAAAAAGCAAGAAACAGAAAGTGAAGAATACATTGTAGATTTTAGACTTTATATTGTTTGTCTTTTAGGATTATTCCACACTAGATACTATTCCAAATGTGTGTACGGAGAATAGTGAAATGGAGAGCTATGATTACCTGAGAGAATGCATCAGCAATCTTGAGAATAAGAACTCTGAGGTCGGTCTAGCAGCTAATTCTACAGGTGTCACAGACATTAGTTTACAGGAAGATGGTTTAGACGATGTTAATTTGAATAGTATTGATTTTAATTTTATGAAAATTGAAAGCTTATTCCTACAAAATACCGAGGAATCTACAAGTTGTATAAAGAATGAAGAAGAAAAAACAAAACAAGGCAGCTCTATAAATGTTGATATTTCACACTCGATTCAACATTTCAACACAATGAGTCTGAATTTCTCAAATTTTTCAAACAGCAAAGATTCAGATGATATAACAACTGTTCATAATAATGAATCCTATACATTCGACAAAGATCAATGTTTAGAAAGTAAGAACATAGAGAACTACAATTGTTCTATCAAACTTTATACAGAAAATAATACAGATACAGATTCTAATATCACTAAAGATGTCAGTAATATAAATCAAAGTATTATATCCGAATTGAAACGTGAAATAAAAATTAATAATCTGGAGTTATCAGATGGAGATGAACAGTTTCAAAAGTGTGAGCAATGTCTAATGACGTTTAGATATAAAAGACACTTGGATCGTCATTTGGAGGGCCATCAAAAAAATAACTGTCCTCACTGTAATGAAAAATTCGCCAGACGAAAGCATTTAGATGTCCATTTGTTTCGCGCGCATGGAGAAAGGGTAGTTAGGCATCCTCATTTGTGCGACGTATGTCCGAAAAGTTTTCCCAAACGCGCCCTTTTGAACCGTCATAGAGCGAAGCATACCTATCAAAACGGCAAGGTATGTTCGGATTGCGGAGATATGATAAATGTGGATGTAGATGAAAAAGAGCACAAGGAGAATCACTGTAAGAAAAGGCAATTCAAATGCCAGCAATGTTCACAAACGTTCAGTATCAAACAGACGTATGTATCTCACATTCAGAATCACGACAACTATAAGTGTCCACACTGTGATATTACTTTTGCATCGAAGAAGAAGGTGCATGAACACTTTAAAGCGGTTCATATCCCAAAATTAAGCGAGCAAGAATCAGCAAATGGTAATGAATATTAAAATTTTATTAATGGACAGTTCATTTTTCTTGTATTTATCTAATAATGTTATTTTACAGGTCCATATTTTTGCGCTGATTGCAGACACTCGTTTGTAAAAAAAGACGACTATTTTCGACACTTGGAGTCTGCGTTACATCTTAATAAAGTTAACAAGGATATACCTGTAAGGGCTATATTCTCCTGCGCAATCTGTTCCAAAAAATTAATTACTCAAAGAGCTCTGGATCAACATGTCAGACGTATTCACAAGGGCGCAAAGCGATTCGTCTGTAATATATATGGGTGTACTTTTCAGTGTGCCAGACGGACAGATCTAGATAGGCACAAACAACTGCACGTAGAAGAGCGAAATATCGTATGCGAGCATTGCGGCAAAACGTTTACCAGTGTCAGCATCCTCAAGGATCATGTACTTTATATACATAGTAAGGAGCGACAATTCATCTGCGAAGAATGTGGCAAAGCGTTTAAGAGAAACAGCTTATTGAAAAGACATAAATTGTCGCACGAGCAACATCGGCCGTTTGCCTGTATGCAATGTAACACCGCGTTCAAACGCTCGCACCATCTCACTCGTCACATGGAAACTTGTCATAGAATTACACTGGAAAAAAAGAAAAAGGTAAAAAAGAATTCTTGTGATAGTCTCATCTTAAAATATATATTTTGTATATAAATAATTGTAATTACAATTTCAAGGTGGTAAAACTCATGAAAACAAAGGATGGTCATCTTGTGCCAGTGCCAGATAAACCAAACAGATCAGAAACTGATAAAGTAAAAGCCGCAAAGGGATGTGATTCAATTGCAAAGAATAAAGAGAAAGATTGTTCTGTTATAAATGTAAAGAAAGAGGCTGCAAATACTAATTCGCAACTGGAAATACAACCATCGTTAAATCCTGAAGAAAACTCGGAATGCCCGAACTTGTCGTTAGAACCTACAAATTTATCTATCGTCGAGTCTATTCCTCAAGTTTTCTCGTTGGTAGATGTAAACACGGGACAAGTGCTTACTGTAGAAATTACCAATAATTCGGAATTGTTATCTACTAATGAACTTGTTAATCAACTTGGAACAAATTGCAATGAAATATTGAATTTACCCGATTATCCAGATACAGACTTTCAAAATAGTCTTTTAAATATCGATCAAATGTGTTATGACAATACAAATTATTCAGAAATGTCGTTGGAAAATATTGAAGGTTCGTTCCCGCTTGTAAGTAATAATAGTAAGATGGAAATGATAGAAAGCTATTTAACTCACGAGTTTCCAGCATTCCTTAATATTTGAAGATTTATAGTATGAAAAATCGTATGTGTATGTATATTATTTAATTGGTAATATAATAGTTGTTCACATTTAAAATGTCATTATGTGTTATCGTATTTTATTAAAATATAAAGTTATTTATTTTGTTAACAACGAAGACTATGTTATTAAATTTTATAAAATTTATTTTTTTATACCACAAGATGTAATTTAACATTTTAATTTTTTAAAATAAATAAATACATATTCTTTCAAAGTACAAAAATTTTATTACCTCGTATAATAGCAAATATTTTAACAAATATTTTCACACAGAGCTATATTATATATTATATAAGGTATTATTTCATTAAGATGTATAAATGTAAAACTTTATTGAACTATTAGAATGTATGCACTAAGTTAATACGTGTATTAAATATATATAAATTATTTTACATTAAAAAAATTACAAATGCAACATAATAATGTACATTAATCTAAATGTATGTTAGTTCAACTTTAAAAAACATAATTAATATTAAATATTTGAGATTAATTGAAAATATATACGTATAATATTAATCCGAAATTAAATTTTTAACATTTTTTTGTACAGATCTAAATTTTACGTACAGCTGAATCAAAGTCCTGATCAATTAAGCTAGTTAAAAGGTCAATACCTTCTCTTTTACCTTATTCTTCTCCATTATTTTACATTTTCTATTCGACAATGCATATGTAAAATGAAACTTATTAATATACATATATTTTCATTTTGCACATGTATGTATTTAAAATACGTACAAAGCCTAGGAGAAATCGAGAACTTGTTCGATCTCCAACTGTGCAAGATTAAAGGATTCAACAATCGTGTGTATCTTTAATAGAGCATGTTAAAATATAAAGAAAATTGTAAACTTTCATGATTTTGAATAATCTATCATTAAATCGTAACACGTATATATGTTTCAACCATCATAAAGTTATATGATTATTATTTGTAATACAAAAGTATAAACCAGTAATAAGTGTGAACTATCATAAACATCTTATATGAATTATTTATGACGTAAATATAAATCAATAATTCTTTTATAAATTCTGTGTATTGTATGTGTAAACATATACATATAATATATACAACATATATATATAAACATAATTAGAAGAGAATCATGTTTTATGCATTTATATTTACTATTTATTCATCAAACATGCTTGTATCGTTAGAAATATATAACTTGATATGTAATTAAAAAACCTAATATATTTATATATTTCTGTTAATTAAAATACAAAGAATACAACTTGTCCTGCACCTCATTAACTCTGGTTTATCTTTATTCATTTTCTTTTTTCTTCATGAAACAAATCTGTGTACAAGTATACCAATGACAGCAGCAGATGCTCCAATCACAGTCCATAGAATTCCTTTAGCGATTTTACTTTTTTCTTCTACTTTTATATTCTTTGACGATTTATCAGTCTCTTTATTTATACCTAACATTTTAGCATACAGATACTTTTCTTTCTCAGTCTGTTTTGAAATTCTTTCTTTTAAAATCATTAATTCTGTTTGTAACGACTTCATATCTGGATCTGTCTTTTGCACTTCTAGGAAAATCATATAAGCCTTTCCTAATTCCCCTTTAGCTTTTAATATCCTTCCTATAAACAATACAGATATATGTAAAGAGATATATATACACTTGTGTAAAATATAATTCAAAAATATGAAAAAGTTAACATATTAAAAAAAAAAGACAAAATAACAATAAGAAGTTTAGGCAAAATTTTTTACCTTTTCTAAATAGTGCTTTTAAATTTTTTGGTTGATACTTCAGAACTTTATCTACATTTTCTAAAGCTGTGTTGTAAGATCCTATCTCAATGAATGCAGCCGCTAAATTGTTACACACTTTTATGTAATCATCCAACAGTCCTTGCAGTTGGCTATCGGTAATCGGCCCTGATTCTTTATTTTCATTCCAATTCATACCATCTATTTGTAGATACGATAATGCTCTCTGATAACACTGTATTGAAAAATTAAGCTCCTTGCGAACAAACCACCAATTTCCGCGTTGGCGTTTCTTGTTACTATAAAGAAATAATGTATAACACGATGAAAAGAAATTAAAGAGATAAATGACATAGAGTCTTAACCTTCAATTTTATATATATATATATAGGTCATAAATAAAATGATTACCCTAGTTCTTTTCTTTCGTTGACGCTTAGACTTTCTATATCAGGACTATCCTCTATTGCTTTCAATTCAATTGTGTATGTAATAGTAGCATCAGGTGGTATAGATCCTTCTCCACGTGTGCCATAAGCAAATCTAGGATCGATCTTTATTTCAGCAATTTCACCCAATTCCATCAATGCAATCGTTAGGTCTAATCCCTGTAGTTTGATGTATTGTAAACAAGATACTGACAGTTATAATACAATGTTATAATAATAATTATAATACCTGTACTACATCAAAATCTCCTAAATGTATCGAAACATTATCATGATCTTCCACCACTGTGCCATCATCAAGCACACCAATAAACTTTATTATACATGTATCGTGTCGTATTGGCTTTACATCTTTTGTGCCTTTCTTTATAACTTTCTTCATCAGCTGACCATTGCCAATTATATCTAACCACTCTTCCTTTGGTTGATCATCCTTCGATTGATCCTCCTTAGATTGATCTTCCTTAGGTTGATCTTCCTTAGATTGATTCACCTTAGATTGATCCATCTTAGGTTGATCTTCCTTAGGTTGATCCACCTTAGATTGAGCTACCTTAGGTTGATCCTTGTTAGATTGATCTTTCTTAGGTCGATCCTCGTTAGATTGATCTTCCTTAGGTTGATCTTCCTTAGATTGATTCACCTTAGATTGATCCATCTTAGGTTGATCTTCCTTAGATTGATCCACCTTAGGTTGATCTTCCTTAAGTTGATCCACCTTAGGTTGAGCTACCTTAGGTTGATCCTTGTTAGATTGATCTTTCTTAGGTCGATCCTCGTTAGATTGATCTTCCTTAGGTCGATCCTGCTTAAGTTGATCTCCCTTAGGTTGATCTTCTAAAGAAGAGGATTTAAGAGGTAACACCTCACCATTGTTATCGTAATTAGATATCTCGCAAGAAACATCAGTCAGCACTTCTTCCTCCGACGACATACTTTCATTCATCTTAGGCAAATAAAAATTACTTCAATAAAATAACCCTATAAATTATGTTTCTATAAGTATGATGGATTTTCTCGATTTTTCGCAAAAATAAAATTATATCTACATAACAGTCATTCCATAATCGTCTAATATAAAGTTATCGAACATGTAATTTACTGGAATGTTTAACCATGAAAATTTCGCGTGACGATTTTTTCCAAGTTTTCTCAAAATCTTAAACGCTGAATGCTTTTCTAGATTTGCTTTAAACTAAAAATTAATTCTGTATAATCTTGTTCTTAGCATCTGGCTGAGCGCTGCGAGCGCTTAGCACTGTGATAATGAGAATGATTAAGCACAATGACGAAAGAAATTCTTATGTTTCGCGATAAAACCGTTAAAGAAACCGGCTTCAACAAGTTTCAATTGAATAACAAAACAAAAATTTTACTATATTCTTCCGTTCTCTTTTTTGTACCTCAGTAGTGTAAAGTGTGATGGTCATTATTCAGAAAAATCAGGCTGGAGAAGAAACAACTTCTCGTACGAATTCTGTTCACTCAGTTCACTGTTGTGGTCCGTCGGAAAATACCACGGATGCCACGAATGCCACGACAATGCGACAAACTCGCACGTGCGTCCGTTCGAAAGCAAACTGTAGGAAACTATAATTACTGGGTCGATAGTCGAATCGTTACAAAACTTGAAGATTCTCGAAGAAAATCGATTCGTAAAGAAAATTGTTAATTCGTAAAGGTTCTGTTCAGGACTCACAAGAAAACTTATTAAAAAAATGTGCATGTAACAAATCGGTAATCAGCCAGTAAGATCTCCGAAGGATAAAGATACAAATACCATGTTTTGAGTAATTAAGATTTATTACATCATTAAGAATATAGACATAAACGTTATAAATATTGTTACAAACATAATGTTATAAATGACGATGTAAATATTACTGTAAGGCCCGATAAGCATCAACGTTACTTTGACTTTAAGCGACTTAAAACTCTCACTTTCTCTGTTTAAAGCCGAGAGAGTGGGAGAGATAGAGCGAGTTTTAAGCCTCGTTTAAAGTCGAAGTAACGTTGGTGCAACCGGGCCGAAAACTTTATTTGTGCGAGGGATCGAGAATTTGTGTTTATAGAAAATTATCTATAGCGTTATCTAATTGAATGTAATTGAAGTAGATTTTTTAGAAATGGATGAAAATATGAATGGGTGAAAGTACGATTTTTTTATTAGTTCGGTTTCTATCGTTTCTACGCATACGTAGATACGCGTACTACACAAATCGCATGTGGATAATGAATGCTTTCCAGCAAGGACATAGTCAGACACTGTCACTGCTTTCCATTTGATGACACAAATCAACACAAGCGTCGTTCTATCCTTCTTGGACATTCAGAGAGTGACAAAGATAAAACGATACTTGTGTCGACTGTCTTTTAAAAGGAAAGCAGCCTTGCTTTCCAGCAAGGACACAGTCAGACACTGGCTACGTTTACACCGTGCGTTTAGTCCGCGACCTATACGATATAGATGTCTTTGTTTAACCTACGGGATAAACAAGGACCCCCTATAGCACAAAAGTTGCAACAACAATGCTGCAACATTGCAGCAATGTTGCATGTTGCAGTAATATTGCAGCGTTATTGCTGCAAGTTCTGTGCTGTATGGGACATCTATTGTATAGGTCGCGGCCTAAATGCACAGTGTAAACATAGTCATCGTGTAACACAGTGAGTCGTTTCATCCTTGTTATTTGCCAACGTTAAACAAGGATGAAACGACTCACTGTGTTACAGTGTCTGACTATGGCTACGTTTACACCGCGCGCTTAGTCCGCGACCTATACGATAGGTGTCTTTGTTTAATATACAGGATAAACAAAGACATCTATTGTAGGCTGCGGCCTAAATGAACGGTGTAAACGTAGCCTATGTCCTTGCTGGAAAGCACCCAATGAAGAGTCATACCAGTTCACACGTGTGATGTCCCAATAGGAACGCGTGGTTTTTAGGAATTCCTTTATCCCTAGTAGACGGTTCTTCTCATTGGTTATTGTACGTTGGATGTACAGGGATGAATTCAGGAATTCAGGTTATTAGCATTTTACATTTTATCCTTGTTGTTCGCCGAATTGTTAAATAAAGATAAATAATAATACTTGAGAGCATCCGGGTGAAGTTTTTGAACGCAGTTCAATGGATAATTCAATGGATTTTTGACTGCGTTCAGCAGAAAAAGTAGCTTTGCAACTGTTGTAAGATTTTTTAATATGATTAGTTTGCATATTTAGATGCAGTGAGAAATTAAGAGAAGTTAACGGCAAGAACCAATTATATTAAGAATCTTATGACAGTTTTAAAGCTGCCTTTTCTGCTGAACGCAGCCAATATCCGTTTGGAAATGTAATCAGCTGTGCTATCAACTGTTGTATTATTTTATTTTTATCTTATTATTTATCGTTCATTAGGTATAAAACGAAAATAGAATGGTGCAATAACGCAGCCATCGTAAAATGGTACAAGAAACAAAAATTAAATTAATTGAATATTATATAATGACAAACAAATTGGGATAAAAAATCGAGATAATTTATCTACGAAAAAGAATGCTTCAGCTAGAATTTGAAAAAGAGGCACGACTGATATTTTAATCTCAATTGATAAAAATAATTATAGTGTCCGTTACTTGCTTTCGACGATGAACTTGAATAACAGATAAGTACTGATTATTTTTATCAATCGAGATTATAAATATTTGAAAAAGACTTGGTGTTATCAATTATATAATTTCTGAGAAATACAGACTGAAAGATCCATATCTGAACATCACGATGAAAAATCTCTCTCCTCGATAAGTTGATATTTAAATATACCGTATTTTAAATATATCGTACGTAACCTATTTACGAGTAAATGTACTTCGTGACACCTGTGAACTTTCGCGCGAGTTAAATCTCGCAATACTTCATGTCGCTTCGCATTTGCCAAGGACGTAATACGATATATCAAAGGCCATGTCTTTTGCGTCTGAATTGCTTTGAAAGAACTCTAAAATTTTTTAATGATTTTTTTTCCGTTGCCAAAAATTTGATCTGTTCAAGTACCCTGATCATCGAGTAAAAATAAAATTTGACAAAATTTTAAAGAAACTCTTAACGACATGCATAATTTCTGATTTTTATAAAAAAAAGAAAATACTTCCTTATCAGTAATTTAATTAAAAAATAGGCAAAAACGAACGCGTACTCATCGATTATTATCATTACCGGTCGTTATTTGTTGGTTCCGATTCAATTCTAAATGCATCAAATTATAGACAATTCAAGATTTGCTGCGTTCAGTGCAGTTTTGCAACTGTTGTAAAATTGTTTGCGATTGTTGGTTTATATATTATTTAGATCCAGTGAATTAAAAGCAGGATCAATCAATATGTTAAAGAATAATTTTTACATTTGCAATGCTGTTTTTTCTGCTGAGTGCAAACATTGAAATCTTAGATGCTGCGTAATGAAAAATCGGCGATTATTCGGAGGATAGGAATTCGAATTAATACACGCAAGAAAAGCAGATTCTCTTTTTCGAGCAGAAAGACGAAGAATCGAAAAATAAAAAATATACTTTGAGACCAATATTATGGACTTAAGTACGATAGATTGTCAATTTTTTCAAATAATTTTTTTATTTTAATTATATATATGTTATATATATATAATTATATATGCAATATTGCAATATTGTTTTGTGCTGTTGGGGAACCTTTTGGGGAGGTTCAACTCTACGGCTTTTTCTAATCCTAAGAATTAGGATCTAAAAAATAAAACAAGATGAAGAGCAAGTTAAACCGAAAATAATAAAGTTAATCTACATTGATAAAAACAGGCATTAATTTGATTTTAATAGTAAAAGTACTATTGATTGCAATTATTGTATTAAAAGTGGTACTCATAGTTTTGTATTTAAGATCGTCGTAAATTGATTTGATAATAGTAATTAAAGCTCTATAAATAATTATTGTTACTCTATCCCAGATAGCACATGATATTAATAGAACGTATATGAACGTTCTAAGAATATTGGTACATTCTTAAAATGTTCTATGAACGTTTTTAGAAATTTGGTGCTGTATAGGATAATACTCTATAATATTGTTACTCTATAATACTCTATAAATAATTATATTGCACATATTATATCTTCTTAATTGATCTATTATTTTATTAATATCTATTTCTACCAGTGCAGATTAACTTTAATTTATTTTTTCTTTTGTTCTCCAGCTCTAAAAATTAGAAAAGAATAAAGAATAAATTAACCCAAAATTTATTTACACGTAGAAACGGGCAACAGTCAATGACCCCGAATGAACTGTTCGGTTCAGTTCAGTTCAATCAAATCAAAAGGGACTGTCAGAAGTGAAAATTGTCAATTTATCGTCCACATTCGTGCCCTAAAGCTCGTACTAGTCTGCGATTTGCAGTTATAGTTGACTATCAACCAAATTGAGCCAACTAAATACACTTTGTTCATTTATTCTCATATTCGCGGGCCCTCGTGATGACTCGCTCGTTACGTTACCGCCGGGGAAACGGGCCAATTGGACGCTCCCACATTTCTAAGCGTGCACACGCGTACTCGAGGCACCGTCGCATCCGGTAGTGGTCCACTCTGACAGACCACTGCAGGATCAGACAGTTGTGGTACTTTCATCGTCCATAGTATCATGAGGCTGCTGCTACTCGTAGGCTTGATAACCGTTGTCTCCTGCGCGAGCAATGGGCCGAAAGTCACCGATAAGGTATAACGTGAGAAGTATATATACTTGGATATAATCTGCAAAATATAAATTGTGAATACGTGGCACTTCGCCGGCGCGAGATATTTCTGTTGCATGTATGGAAAGATCCGTGCGTCACTTACGAACGAACGATGTCTTTGTCCAGCAGCGTATATTCGCCGAGTTCTCTCACAAAGAATCGTTTACTTCACTTTAATTAATGAATAATTCATCAAATTTTTAGGTATGGTTTGATATCAAAATCGGTGATGAGGATGCGGGTAGAGTAGAGATCGGTCTGTTCGGCAAAACTGTTCCGAAGACGGTCAAGAATTTCGTGGAGCTGGCCAAGTTGCCGGAAGGTGAAGGGTACAAGGGCAGCAAGTTCCACAGAGTGATCAAAGACTTTATGATCCAAGGAGGTGACTTCACAAAGGGAGATGGCACTGGAGGTCTTTACTTTTAATTGTTTAGGACAGGTGTACCGTCTAAAAATTAGCTTGCGAGCTAACATTCTCACCTCTTCATTGTCTTGTTTAGCAAGATAGAATAAACAAAAAAAATAAACACTGGAGCTCTGTCCCATAATTAGCTTCTAGCATCTGTTTTCTTTTTGGTTTTTATTTGTCTCGTTTAATGAGACAAGGTGAGGTGATAGCAGATGCTTTTTGATGACACAGATGTATATACAGGTAACGTTCTATCTTGTTACTGAATGTCAAGAAAAATAGAACACGATGGTTGTGTCGATTTGTATCATTAATGTCCATTCCTACCAATGTAGCTTAATTTTAATCTTGGTTCAACTAACTCTTTCTACTAAAAATTAGAAAAAAAAGTAAGCTGGACCGAAATTAAAGTTAATTTACATTGGTAGAAACGGACATAAATGGAAAGCATCCAGCGTTTAGCTTGCGAGCTGAATTTTGGACAAGCCTGGTTTAGCGCAGATACACTTGATTCTGATTGCTGATCTATAATCTGTCCATTAGGTCGCAGCATCTATGGGGATCGTTTTGCGGATGAAAACTTCAAGCTGAAGCATTATGGCGCTGGATGGCTATCCATGGCCAATGCTGGCAAAGATACCAATGGATCTCAATTCTTCATCACGGTTAAGCAAACACCTTGGCTTGATGGTAGACATGTCGTCTTCGGCAAGATTATCAAAGGAATGGTAAGAACATCATCTACTTGTTATTATTACAATAACTTATTGAGAATTCACTTTTTTATTTTATTTCGTTAATAATACAAAGTTCCTTTTCATTCATTTTTTTTTTCATTTTTCCTCTTCATTTGGGAAATAAAAAAGAGAAAAGATGAAAAAATTTCAACAAAAAAAAAAGAGCAGACTTGTAATTATACTTATTATTCTGTTGCAGGATATAGTGCGCAAAATTGAGCAAACGAGCACCGACTCACGAGATAAGCCACGCAAAGACGTGGTCATCGCCGACAGCGGCGCGGAGACTGTGAC